GGCTAATTTTTGTATTTTTGGTAGAGATGGGGTTTCACCACGTTGACCAGGCTGGTCTCTAACCCCGACCTTAAGTGATCCACCTGCCTCAGCTTTCCGAAGTGCTGGGATTACAGGCGTGAGCCACCACGCTCGGCCCATTAATTCTTTAAATATTTGGTAGAATTCACCAGTAAAGCCATTTGGTCCTGTTCATGCAGGGTGGTTGTTGACTGTTTTAATTTCCTTACTTGTTTTTGGTTGTCCAGGTTTTTTATTTCCTCATGATTGAGTCTTGATAGATTGTATGTTTCTAGGAATTTGTCTGTTTCTTCTAGGTTATCCAATTCATTGGCGTATAAGTGTTCATGGTAGTCTCTTCTGGTTCTCTGTTTTTCCGTGGCATCCATTTTAATGTCCCTTTCTTTAAGATTATAATCTTATTTGAGTTTTCCTTCTCTTTTTCTTAATTACTATAGGTAAAGATTTCTCCATTTATTTAATTTGTTTAAAAAAAAACCGAGCTCTCAGTTTTGTTGATCTTTTGTTTCTAGTATCTATTTCATTGATTTATTTTTGCTCTAATCTTTATTATTTCCTTCCTTCTAACTTTGGGCTTAGTTCTTTTTCTAATTCCTTGAGGCATAAATTAGGTTGTTTATTTAATACCTTTTTTTTTTCTAATATGAGTATGTATTGCTATAAAGGTTTGTCTTAGAACTTCTTTTAACTGCATCCCGTAAGTTTTGGTATGTCAAGTTTCTATTTTTGTTTGTCTCAAGATAATTATTAGTTTTCTATTTTAGTGTATTCCTTGACCCTTGGTTGTTCAAGAATATATTGGCTAATTTCCACCTGTTTCTGAATTTTCCAGTTTTTAGCCTGTTACTGATTTCTAGCTTCATACCATTATTTTCAGAAAAGATGGTTTTTATAATTTCAGTCTTATTAAATTTGTTAACTTGCTTTGTCGCCCAACATTTTATCATCCTGGAGAATATTCCAGGATAATATTCTCCTGTGTGCTGGAGAAGAATGTATTTTGTACTGCTGTTGGATGAAATGTTCTGTTTCTGCGTTTCATCTACATTGTTTTTCAAGATCACTATTTTCTTACTAATATTTTGTCTGGATGATCTAGTCATTGTTGAAAGTGGAGTATGGATGTCTCCTACTATTATCATATTGCTTTTTCTTCTTTCAGATCCGTTAATATTTGCTTTATGTATTATGAGCTCCCTAAATATATTGGTGTATATATAATTAAAACTTTTATATCCTTTTGATAAATCGGTCCCTTTATTATTATATAAGGACCTTTGTCTCTTGTGACAGTTTTTGTCTTAAAGTCTATTTTGTGTGATGTAAGAATAGGGGCTCCTGCTGTCCTTTTGGTTATCATTTGCATGGAATATCTTTTTCTAACCCTTGACGTTTAGTCTGTGTCCATTAAAATTAAAATGAATATCTTGTAGCCAGGAGATAGTTGGATCTTGTTTAGTTTGTTTTGAGACAGTCTTGCTCTGTCGCCGAGGCTGGAGTGCAGTGGCGTGATCTCAGCCTACTGCATCCTCCGCCTCCCGGGTTCAAGCAATTCTTCTGCCTCAGCCTCCTGAGTAGCTGGGACTGTAGGCGTGTGCCACCATGCCTGGCTAATTTTTATGTTTTAGTAGAAACAGGGTTTCACCATATTGGCCAGGCTGGTCTCGAACTCCTGACCTCATCATCTGCCCACCTCGGCTTCCCAAAGTGCTGGGATTACAGGCGTGAGCCGCCACGCCCCACCTGTTTGTTTGTTTTAACCATATTCTGCCATTCTGTGTCTTTTCATTGGGGAATTTAATCCATTTAAATTAATTGTTGGTAGATGATGACTTGTTATTACCATTTAGTTCATTGTTTTCTGGCTGTTTTATAGTTCTTTTATTCCTGTCTTCTCTTGCAGTCTTTGCGACTGATGACTTTTTGAATATACCATTTTATTGTCCCTTGGTTTGCAAGGTTTCTGCTGAGAAATCAATGGGTAATATTATGGAGATTCCTTTGTATGTAGTGAGTCATTTTTCTCTTGCTACGTTCAAAATTCTCTTTGTCTTTGACTTTTGACAAGTTGACTGTAATGTGTCTCAGTTTAGATCTCTTTCAGTTGAACCTTTTTGGGGGCTTTGGGATTCATGAATGTGGGTGCCTCTGTCTCCCCAGATTTGGAAGATTTATAGCTATTCTTTAAATAGGCTTTCTACTCGTTTCTGTCTCTGCTCCCTCTGTAACTTCTTTAATGCTTATATTCACTTGGCAGGGTTCCACAGGTTCTTTAGGCTTTCTTCACTCTTTTTCTTTTTTTTTTTTGAGACAGAGTCTCGCTCTGTGGCCTCAGTGCAGTGGCCGGATCTCAGCTCACTGCAAGCTCCGCCTCCCGGGTTTACGCCATTCTCCTGCCTCAGCCTCCCGACTAGCTGGGACTACAGGCGCCCACCACCACGCCCGGCTAGTTTTTTGTGTTTTTTAGTAGAGACGGGGTTTCACCGTGTTAGCCAGGATGGTCTCGATCTGCTGACCTCGTGATCCGCCGGTCTCAGCCTCCCAAAGTGTTGGGATTACAGGCTTGAGCCACCGCGCCCGGCCTCTTCACTCTTTTTCATTGTTTTTTCTTTTTGTTCCTCTGACTATAATCTACTTTTTATTTTGTTGATTCTTCTGCTTGATAATGTCTGCTCTTGGACCCCTCTAGTTAATATTTCAGTTCAGTTATTGTACTCTTCAGCTCCAGTATTTCTCTTTTGTTCTTTATCATTTCAATCTCTGGGTTGAATTTCTCACTTCATTCATCTATTATTTTACTGACCTCATATAGTTATGTATCTCTGCTGTAATTTAACTCACTGATCTTTAAGATGATTATTATGACTTCCTTCTCAGGTGATTCACAGGTCTCCATTTCTTTTGGGTTGGCTACTGAATATTTGTTTTCTTCCTTTGTGTCATGGTTTCTTCTTGATTCTTCATGCTATTTGTAGGTTTGCTTTGCTGTCTGTGAATTGAAGTAGTAGGTATTTCTCTCAGTCTTTATGAGTTAGTCTTGACTGGGAAAGACCTTCATCCATTAGCTGTGCTCCACATGAGACAAGATCAGGACTGACCCCTACAGGAGTGTACCATAAGGTTGGTGACAAGTACATCTTCTCTTCTCTCTCTCTCTCCACAGAAAAGCGTCTCAGTCATACAGATCAGATGTAAGAGGATGTCTGCCTCATTGCTTTCTCAGATGATCAGCACCTCAGTATGAGACAAGATGGCTACTAGCTCCTTGGAAAACTCCCTGAGAGGTCAGGAGGTCAAGTAGCCAATCTCACTTCCCATGAAGAAATAATCAGTCAGGGCAACTGAGCTGAGCTGGTCTGGGGGAAGGGCTGATAAGTTGAAAATTGTTCTTACCCGTATAAATGCAGCTGCTCTCAGTTTGTGCTCCTCTGGGGTTGCTTGCAATTATTAGTTTGATTATGGATTTATCTTCAAGGTATTTTGGTTCCAGTATTGTTGTTACATGTTTTCATGAGTGAACAGAGAGGTAGGGCTTCCTACTCTGCCGTTTTACTGACATTCTCTGTGATATATTACTTATTGAATCTTAAAATACAAATAAGGTAGCTCTGAATTGCTAATTCAGACCCCTGTGGAAAACAGATTTACTAACTGAGTTGTTTTTGTGTGATTCTTTTATATTTAGGCTTAGATTATATGTTCAAAATACTGTTTTCCAAATTCACTTAGATGAGTTATTTTTATCTTTCAATATGGTTTTGTTATTCATTTGTAATACAGTTAAAAAGCAACCATTTTTGTCACCTTAAAGTGTAATGTTAGCTTTGGCGTTTTTGTAGATGCCCTTTATTAGGCTGAAAATTTTTCTTGGTCTTATTGAACTTCATTGAAAACAATCATGGTTAATGAATTTTGTCAGATTCCTTTTCTGCATCTCATGAGATCATCTGATTTTCTGGCCTGCCAATATGTTGCATTAAATTGATTTACATTTGAATATCTCACGTTTCTGGGATATGTTCTAACTTGGTGTATTATCTCTTCATATATAGAGGTATACATATGTATGTGTGTATATGTATATCACTGTATTCATTTTGCTAAAATTTTATTAAGGGTTTGTATTAACTCTGCTCTCCAACCAGCCTGTGATAGCTGAGGGCCCAGAGTGCCTTAAATGGATTTACCTTTACCCCTTTGCCCTGCCACTTGCCTTTGGGGATGGCTGCCTTGGTCATCAGGGAGGCTACATGTACCTCAGTGATCCTGCCTTATCCCAGCCTTTAATATACTATGGTCTGGTATTAGGTGACGACTTGTGAGAGTCTGTGGATGGATTCATCACTGTGATTTCTGTAACTGAGATGTCTCAGAATTCTAATGTGGTCTATCAGCCACACTCTGCTGTCAAATTTTGGTAAGATTTAATGATGATTTCTTTATACCTTCATGTGTGGCAGATTCCTTCTCTCAGCACTCATTCAAGATTGAGAAAAATCATGAGTATATTCTTTCTTAGCAAAGCTTATTATTTAGGTGTATCTGCATTCTTGGCTCTCTGATGTATTTTTAAAAGGTATGATTTTATAACTATGTGGCTTGTGTTTTAAGAGAGAAGGATCAACCCTTGGAAGTTTTACATTCTAATATGAATGTATGAGAATATTTATTTTGGTTTTTGTTTTGTTGTGTTTTTGAGACGAGGTCTCTGTTGCCCAGGCAGGAGTACAGTGGCAAGATCACGGTTCACTGCAGTGTTGACCTCCCGAGGCTCAGGTCTTCCTCCCACCTCAGTCCCCTGAGTAGCTTGGACTATAGGTGAGTGCTACCACACCTGGCAAATATTTGTATTTTTTGTAGAGACAGGATTTCATCATGTGTTGCCTAGGCTGGGCTCAAGCAATCCACCTTCCTCAGCGTCCCAGAGTGCTAGGATGAGCCACCATGCCCAGCCAGAAAATTTTAAAAATAGATATTTGTAGAGTTATACATCCAGGAGGATTTTTAGAAATGGGATTTCTAAGTCAAAGGGTAAATGCGTATATAATTTAACTATAAGCTGCCAAATTCCCTGGTGTGTTTTTTTTTTTTTTTTTT